CCTCCTCCTCCCCATCCCCCTTCCCCTTCCCCTTCCCCTTCCCCTTCCCCTCCCTGACGAGGGCAACGCGGTGCCCGCCGCGGCGGAGTTCAAGGTCGGGGACCACGCCGAAGCCGTCCCCGTGCGCTCCGCGCGGCCGTCCCGCCGGGCCCGTCATTGACCGGTCGGCCGCGCCGTATTCGGCCAGGTCGCTTGCGGCCTCCTGCGCTGCTCGGTGACGACATGGCCAAGCCACCGCGCAGCATGGTAAGAACTCGCGGCGCGGGCAGTCACGGCCAGGCGGCCACGTGGCTGCACAGTCTGGAGCTGTCCCGGAAGAGCCGAGCTGGAGTCGAACACCCGTCCCTCGGCGCCGCCCCGACATACTAATACTAGGTGTGCGTAGCTGCCCCAAGGGCGCGCGCGCGCGCCAGGAACTCTTACAGTGTAAGCTCTGTGACGGGCGCTCTCTTGCCACACCGCTCTGGGAACGAGAAACCACAGCACGGTTGCACGAGATGCTCGGGCCGGACGTTCGCCTCCAAGGAGGACGCGCAGTGCATGTACGTCCTTGGGCGTCCCAGCCTCGTCGGTGCTCCCTCCCCAGACCCCCGACGTGATGATTTGGTCATTACGTCGACCCCCAGGGTTGCCGACCCTTTCTCAATGACGGGCTTTGCATGCTGAGTTGTTTTTTGACGCCCCCGGGGCCTGGTGAGGGCCCCCGGAGGCCGAAAATCAAGAAAAACCTCCCGTCATGATTTTTGTCACTACTCGAGGGGGTCTGGGTCCCTTCGCGGCCTTCGCCAGGGGGAAGCCGCCTCAGCATGCTGGAGCCCTGCAGCACCCAGTACTGGAACGACGCGGCCGCTGCGCGGCCCGGGGCCATCACAGATCTGAGCTGGTCGAGACATGCCGCAGATGGATGGGATCTGGAGCTGCGGTCGCGATTGCTCGTGCTGTCGTATTTCTCGCCACGAGGGCAGCGGATCCTGAGGGCAGCGGCTCCCGAGGCTTCTCGCCGCCTCTGGGCCCCTCGAGGCCCCTCCAAGGGCCCCTGGGCTGTCTCACGAGCCGGCTCGTCCTGGGATCCCGGGCCCCGAGGCCAAGCACCCTCCTCTTACCCCCATCGTCATCATCATCATCATCATCCTCCTCCTCCTCCTCATCATCATCATCATCATCAGCATCACCATCATCAGCATCATCATCGTCACCACTATCAGCAACATCTGAATCATCACCAGCAACATCATCATCACCATCAGCATCATCATCATCACCAGTACCATCATCAGCATAATCAGCATCCTCATCATCAACAGCACCAGCATCAACACCCGCATCGACATGCACATGCACATCAATAGCCACATCAACCTCAGCATTGCCGTTAGCATCGTGATCATCATCATCATCATCATCATCATCATCATCATCATCATCATCATCAGCATCATCATCAGCATCATCATCACCTTCGCCGTCATCACCACCATCAAGGTCATCATGATCGCTGTCATCATCACCATCATCGCCACTCATTTCGGCACACCCCTCACACGTTTCCACTTTCGTGGCCTCAAGCGGAGCTTCACCGAAGGTCCTGGTGCCACTGCCAGCAAATGTCCCCGCCACCTATTTCGGCACACTCCTCACACGTTTCATGGCCCCAGAGGGAGCTTCACCGAAGGTCCCAAGGCCACCGCCCTCATGCGTCCCAGCCGTCCATTTCACACGTTTCGTGGCCATATGCTGCGCGCTACCGAAGGTCACAGTGGCTACGTTCGCATGCGCCCACCGCATCCACGTGGGCGCACCCCTCAACCGTTTTTTGGCCCCGTATGGGTGCTCCACCGAAGGCCTCAGTGGCTACGTTCGCACGCGCCCACCGCACCCACGTGGGCACACCCCTCACACGTTTTGTGGCCCCGCAGGGAGCGCCTTCGAAGGCTCCAGTGGCGGTGTTTGCATGCGTCCGCCGCACCCGATTCGGCACCCCTCTCACGCGCCTCGTGACCCCATAGGGAGCGGCACCGAGAGCTCCAGTGGCAGTGTTCGCACGCGACCTGCCCGCCCATTTCGGTCGACCACTCACCCGCTTCGTGGCCATATAGGGAATCCCACCGAAGGCCCAAGGGGCTGCGTTCGCATGTCGCTCACCGCGCGCATTTCGGCACGTTTCTCACACGCTTCACCGAGGACGATACCCACAATTGCGTCACTCACATCTGCATATGGTTGGGTCTTCGCCAGGCTAGTTTTGCTAGCAGCGTCCGACTTCAAGGCCTGCGTTCGCTGTCGCCGGAGGAGTAGGATCGAGGGGAAAAGCGCGAGGACCATGGCCAAGATGTCGTGGGATACTTTCGATGCAGGTTCTGGTCATGGTCCCTGCCGTCCGTCGTCAATTCGCGAGGGTGACTTAATAGCCCCAAAAAACGCGTGACCACGCCACGTAGTGAGTGAGTCGGTGGAGAGTCGGGAGCATCGCACGGTTTTTGGACCCGCGTTGTTCTCCGATGACGTCTCCGGCGACTTGGGCTTTCGAGGTCCCAAAACCGTACGATTACGGACCGCGCGGTGAGGTCAATGGTGATTCCGGGTTCACCACGCGGTCCGTCACCACACGGTTTCGGGGCCCCGAGGTAATCCACGAATTGAAAATAACCAAGGTGGACGATGACCAAGATCGACAACGATGTTTCCGTGGTCAGTCTAGGTCATGGTCACCGTTCTCTTCTTCACCAGAGGAATACTCTTACCAGCCTGAGACATATGCCTCTCTTTCTGACTGGCGTCACCTATCTCGGTGCCGATCTCAAGGATTCCCACCATGTCTGAGGGCACAATCATAATATCGTCCTCGCAGTTTGCTTGTCGAGCTTAGGAATAGGGATCGTCTCGAGGCTGGTTAGACCCCCCAGGCCGCCCAGGCGGGGCCTCTCATGGACCGGGTTGGAGGGTGTTGCGGCATCAACGGCTGCATTGGCGATGATGCGCGATCCGGAGCCCGGGTTCCTCCATCCCCAGGTCCCTTCGCGTCGTGAAAAATACAAAAACACGACGAGCGTTGTGTTTTATTTGGTCCGTGCTCGGCCCCCGCGCCGGGCCCCTGGACCGTCACGGAACGACTCGGGATGAAAAGCCAGTCCCGGCGAATGGGTCGAGACTTCTGGGGGTCGACGCTGCGAACAAAAACATGACGTCGGGGGTCTGGGTCTTGACGTCGGAGGATGGAGCGTAGGAGGAGGAGGAAGAGGAGGGATGGGGAGGCATCCCACATGCCTTTGGGCCAAAGCCCCTGGCGGACTGCTGCCGTCACACTGCGCCAGGGGGAGAGCTTGAACAGCCCGATCATCGACGAGCTGCCGGCCCGCACCAGCCTCGTCGTTTTGGAGGTTGGGCAGGGGCGCCGCATGAAGGTCTCCGCGCACGCATACCAGGTGGGAATGGAGGGCTGGGTCAGCAACAGGACCAATGAGGAGGAGGAGGAGGAGGAGGAGGAGGAGGAGGAGGAGGAGGAGGAAGAGGAAGAGAGGAGGATGAGGAGGAGAGAGGAGAAGAGTGAGGAGAAGAGGAGAAGCGGAGGAGGTGGAAAGGGGAGGAGGAGGAGGAAGGAGGAGGATTGGGAGGAGGAGGTGGTGAGGCAGAGGGGAGGCGAGGATGAGGAGGAGGAAGGAGGTAGGAGGAGGAGAAAGAGGAGAAGGAGGAGGCAGGAGGAGTAGAGGAGGACGACGACGACGATGGGGAGGAGGAGGAGGAGGAGGAGGAGGAGGAGGAGGAGGAGGAGGAGGAGGAGGAGAAGGCTTTGTGAGCCTGTCAGCCAGCAACAGGACCAAGGAGAACGAGCAGCTGGTCGTCAAGACACAGGCCTTGGGAGGAGAAGCGACACAATCAACACCACCCCCCCACCACCACTAGCGGGCCACGTCCCCCCGATGCCTCCCCGAGCTGGAGACTGGAGAAGTCTCGAGCGGGACGCCGCAGCAATCGGGCACTGAGAATGCGCCCACCCGGACAAGTCCACAGAGAAAAGTTTACTCGGCAGCGGCAGTCGAGCGTGCCAGTGCAGTCTCCAGCTGGTTTCGCGAAGCGACGTGCGCCTCGTCGGATACGTTCGGTTTGTTGTCGTACGTCGATGACTACCTCGCCGCGGTCCACTCGTAAAACAGGGCTAGGATCGGGATAAATCGCTCCAGAGCGTTCCGGAGCGCTCTCAGAGCGTTCCGGAACGCTCTTGAGCGGCCGCGGCGCCCAATGCATCCTCCAAACCCGCCGATTCTCATAGATTTCGAATTATCCCGATCCGATTTTGTCCCGATCTTCGCGTCGTTTTAACTCGCAATGTGGTGTCGCGCGCACGAGGAATGTCCCTTTCTCTGAAGCGCGTTTTACTACAGGGTGGCCTGCCAATTTTCAATAAAAAAGGCAAGGGGACCACCAGCACGAGACCACACCACCAGGAGGGCCTTCCCGGTCGCCTCGCGATGGTGGTGCCACTGCGCGCGTACTCCAAATCCCTTACTATTCGTCCCCCAGGTCCGGGTTTTGAGGCGCTTTTTTTGTAACTGGGTGGGTCCAGTTATTAGGGCGCTTTCTTTGGATTGGAGCTCAGGGGGTCCGGTTTATTAAGGCGCCCCGTCAATAGGGGGGTTCGGAATATTAGGTCGCATTTGGAGGGGGGCCCAGTTTTTTAGGGGGAGGCGATTCATAAAGGGTGTGGGGCACTCAGTGACATTGCCATGCTGAGCTGGCATTGCTGGAGGCGGTGCCTTCATCAGATAGGCAAGAGCTTCCTCAGCGGCCGCTGGGCTGAACTCTGGATGGTGGTGCCCGTGCCCTCACGACGAAGAGTCGAGGAGATGTGGTCGAGGCTCTTGGATTTCCCTGGAAGTTTTTCCAGGGTGGAGGCTGAAGCCGAGGACTCGGTATCGAGGGCCGAGTCGAGGATCTCAGGCTCGGGTCGAGTCGAGCACCGAGTATCGCACATTGGGGAGAGGCGTTTCGGTATGGTTTACCCGATCCCCGTCCCCATCTCCATCCCCCTCGAGACCCCCACCACATGACCACCCCAGTTGGGGACACGCCCGTCGAAGCCCGAAGGAACGGCCTACATCCCCATTTTGGGGGGGTCAATCGGCCAGCGGGGCCCAGGCCACGCCGCTGGGGATGGGGATCGGTCAAACGCTACCCAAGGCGGTGCCCCCTGTCGGCCGACGCCGACGGCGGCGACGGCCGACGCCGAGGGCCCCTCGAAGACCTCCGCGGGCCACCGAGGGCGCTCCAGCGCCGCCGGCGACGACGGCGACGAAGACGACGCCGGCGACGCCGAGGGTGGTGACGACGACGGCGACCACGGCGACGACGACGGCGACGACGACGACGCCGACGACGCCGACGGTGGCGACGACGACGGCGACGACGGCGGCGGCGCCGGCGTCGCCGACGACGCCGACGACGCCGAGGGTGGCGACTACGGCGACTGCGGCGACGACGGCGGCGGCGACGACGCCGACGGCGACGACGGCGGCGACGCCGACGGCGACGACGCCGACGGCGCGGTGCCGCAGGCCGCAGGCCGCGCCGCGGCCGCGGCGGCCACCGGGGGCGCGGCCGACCTGGAGCGCGCCGCGGAGGCCGTGCGCGGCGCCGTGCGGCGGCACGGCGCGGGCGCCCCAGAGGCGCAGGAGGCGCCCTGTGCCGCCGCGTCGTATGCATTTTCGTCGTCGTCGTTGTCGTCGTCGGCGGCGGCGGCGTCGTCGTCGTCATTTTCGTCGTTTTCGTCGTCGTCGTCGTCGTCCTTTTCGTTGTTTTCGTCGTTTGCGTCGTTTTCGTCGTCGTGGTCGTCGTCGGCGGCAGCGGCGGCGTCGTCGTCGTCGTCGTGCGACCTCCTGGACTTCCCGAGGCTTCCTGGGACCACCTGGGACCTAGGCCATCGAGCGCCACGCGATGGAGTCCGCTCCAGGGAGCGGTCCCTCGTGTTGCGGTGCGATCTCGCTTTCCCTGACCGTCTTGGCGGACCTTCCACGAAGCCCCGGGCGGGGGAGGAGGGGGAGGAGGAGAAGGAGGAGGGGGAGGAGGGGGCGGATGATGATGATGAGGAGGAGGAGGAGGAGGAGGAGGAGGAGGAGAAGAAGGAGGAGGGAGATGAGGCTGAGCAGGGAGCAGGAGCAGGAGCAGAGGCAGGAAGCAGAGCAGGAGCAGGAGCAGAGCATGGAGCATGGGAGGAGGAGGAGGAGGAGGAGGAGAGGAGGAGGAGGAGGAGGAGGAGAGGAGAAGGAGAAGGAGAAGGAAGGATAGAGCAGAAGGTGAGGAGGAGGAGGTGAAGGGGGAAAAAGGGAGGAGAAGAAGGATGATGATGATGATGATGATGATGATGATTGATGATGATGATGATGATGATGATGATGATGATGATTATGAGGATGAGATGAGGAATGAACAGGATGAGGATATTATGATGATGATGATGATGATGATGATGATGATGATGATGATGCTGATGCTGATGCTGATGATGATGATGATGATGATGATGATGATGATGATGATGATGATGAGGAGGAGGAGGAGGAGGAGGAGGAGGAGGAGAAGGAGGAGGAGGACGAGGAGGACCTCTACATTCTCCCTTTCCCCTGGGCCTACCTATGGTAATGGTGATGGAAGGTTGACCCATCCGAGCTGGATTGGGCCATCGGTCTTGCTCTGGTTGCGCTGGAGGCCTGGGCTCGGCGACCTTCCCCGCCCAACCTGGGCCAGAGTGCCCGTCTTCGCCCCGCGGCTGGTCCTCCGTGCTCTCATAGGCAGCGGGTGGAGACGCGTCTCGTGAGCATTGGCATACTACAACCTCGAACCCTAATAGCACAGTGAACTCGCGGCCTAATTCAGGCGCTCGGCCAGTAGGGTTTCCGCTAAGCATGGGCGCGGTTCCGTTCGTAACATTTGCAAACATATCCTCTTTCTCTCATGCTTCTGACCCTCCTAACTTTGGCCCCTCCCCACAGGATAAGAGGTTTTTGTTTGCTGATCAACGTTGGCATCTGCTGGCGCTCGTCGTGGTCGCCAGCGGCAGTTCGGGCGAACGCCAGCTCGAGGTCGCTCCTCTCGGGTCGGCGGCTGCAGAGTTCGAGTAGGAAATCGATTGCAGAGGTAATCTACCCTCCTCCTCCTCTTCCTCCTCCTCCTCCTCCTCCTCCTCCTCCTCCTCCTCCTCCCCCTCCCCCTCCTCCTCCTCCTCCTCCCCCTCCTCATCCCCCTTCCCCTCCTCCTCCTCCTCCTCCTCCTCCTCCTCCTCCTCCTCCTCCTCCTCCGCTTCGAATCTGCGAAGCGTACGCAGAATGCCCCGTAGATCGACGATCATGCTACGATTTGTTTTTCGCAAGTGCGACAGACAAACATTTTGCGGGGTAGATCATCTGTGTACAGTACAGACGAGCGTCTGATTAAGAAATCTCCTCCCGAAAAGCTGGGCCAGCGCTTCTTAACCAACTTGCCGGAAAGCTGGCCCAGTTCCTTGAGCACGTTCGCGCTTCCAGCGTTAGCGCGATCACTTGGCCAAGGTTTGTCGTAATACGCCTCCAGATAGCTGCCCCAGGTGCCTTATCGAGGCCCAATGGCCGGGGGTCAGTGCAAACGGGGGCCGATCAGAGCGCAGGATCTTGCAAGATCCGGCAGAGCCAGGGTCGCAGTGACCCGGGCTTGGGTGCAGGGTCTTGCGGGTCCTTGCAGGGCCCGGCAAAGCCTGACTGACTTGGGTCTGGCTTGACCCTGCATGGTTTCCCCGCGGCGACTCGCGCGCCTGCGCTCGCGTGCCCGCGCGCGCCCGCGTCTTCGTGGTCCGCGCGTTCGGACATGATCGCTGTTCACTTTCCAAGAACAGGAACAAATCCTCACAATGGTTGCTGAGACCTGGCAGCCTGATATGTGCCCGACCTTCCATGTGTTCTTGATCATCTGTTCGCCTGTCGTCGCGCCACGCGCTCCCGGGAACGACCCGTCCTCCGGAGCGGCCTCGGCCCGCCTTCCCCTCCCCTCGTCCGTCGCTCCGTCGTCTTCCCCTCCCTGTCTTGCACGGAGGCGCAATTCGCCTCACGGCAGCCCCGTTTCGCTTCCTCTAGGGGGCAAACAAACCTACCTCGCTTTTGACCGCCCTCGCTTCCAAGAGACACCAAGCGGTGCCAAACTACGGCCTGCACCGGTCAGGCCGCGTGACGAGGAGGCGCGTGGTATGACTTGGTTTTGCCTGGAAGCGAAAGCGGGGTAGGCAATTCGCGCTCTGATCCTCGCCAGCGCAGTGACACGCCCAGCCGCCGACGAAAGAAGTTTGGCCGTCGTCGACTTTTCTGCTGGAGGTGGTCCGTCTGAGGCAGGTGGCACGGGAGGCTGTGTGTGGCCGCCGTCGGCCGTCACGTGGGCAGGGGCGGTCGGCGCGAGGGCTAGGAGCAGTCCCAGCCCTGCTCCTCCTCCTCTGCCTCCTCCTCCTCCGCCTCCTGCTCCTCATCCTCCTCGACCTCGTCCTCTCCAACCTCCTCCTCCTCCTCCTCCTCCTCCTCCTCCTCCTCCTCCTCCGCAGGGCGAACACGAAGCACACGGCGCCTCGAGCGAGTTGAGCGAGACGCGCACACGAGCGCCAAGGACAAACAGTCGAAAGCAACACGCGCACACACAGCTGCCTCGGCCGAGCCCTGCCCGATGATCCTGCTCCTCGGGGCGCGAGCCCGGGGGGCCCACCTCCGCCCCGAGGAGGAGGCTCGCCCCGGGCAGACGGCTCTTCCCCGAAGCCGCCCGCCCGCCCGCGGGCGCCGGCGCAGCGCGGCGTGGGGTCCGCGCGCCGGGGCGTGGTGGGCGGGCGGGCGGGGCAGCGAGGGCAGCGGGGGCCACAAGGCCTCCTGGCCCTGGCAGCACTCGGAAGCTGGGCGAGGGCTGCCAAGACCGTGGCTGCTAGAACGGCCCTCCCGGAAGAACTGGACGTGTCCTCTGCCTCCTCTGCCCTCCTGTGCGCTGTAGCTGAGCGAGCCTTGCTGTCCCGAGGCAGCGCGTTGCTGCCTGTTGCGGCCAGCCGGCAGGGCTCTTGCGCGTATATGTTCGCAGATGGCAGATGGTAGCACCATTAAAAAACAATTTCTTGGAGCGACGAGGCGCGGCACGCGAAACGGTCCACGGGCTTCTTTTCCCGGAAGGACGCAGACGACTTCCCAGAGGTCGATTCTAGCAGCCACGGATTCAGCAGCCCCTGCCCGGCGTCCGGAGCACGGTCGTGAAGACGCGGCCTCGCTCGGGTCGCCGCCTCTGCACGCGGGGCAGAGAGAGAGATAGAGAGAGAGTTCGGGGCGCTTTGGCCCGGGACGGCTGCGGGAAGCAAACGGCCCAGATTTCCCGGGCCCGCCCGACTGACTCGGGCCCCCTCCCACGGGGTGGCGGGCCCTCGGACTGCTGGCCCTCGAAAAAGCCAGTGTCCGGGGCGCACGCCGCGGTCCTTTTCGTGGCTGCCGAGCCTCCGCGCGCGTGGGCCGCGGGCGTGGAGGCGCGGGCGTGGGCCGCGGTCTCGGGCCGTGGGCGTGGGCCGCGGGCGAGGGCCGCGGCGGGAAGGCCGCGGGGGGGGGGGGGGGCATGGCGTGCGCAGCCCGCGGGGGCCCTCGCGGGGCCACTCCGCGGGCGGCTGCGGCGAAGGATCCACACACACACACACACCCATACCCACAGGGGGAGGCGGGATGAGCCATGGGCGCGTGCCGTCGGATGGGGGTCCCCGCTCGAGCGGGAGCCCCTCCCCAGGGGTCCGACAGCCCGCACCCATGCCCATGGGTGATGGGCTTGTCTTCCACCACCACCACCACCACCACCACCACCACCACCACCACCACCACCACCACCACCACCACCGTAATCGAGCTGGCGGGGGGGAAGGAGGTGGAGGGAGAGGAGGAGGAGGAGGAAGCAGAGGGGGAGGAGGACCCCCCCCCTGCCCCCTCCAGCTTGTGGTGGTGGCGGTGGCGGAGAGCGGGCCCATCGTAGGGGCGTGTGCCGATCGCCGGGCGGGGCTGGCGCTCTGCGCGTGCCCGGGGCCCCGCCCTGGCTCCCACGTCCGGCCCCGGGGCGCGCAGCGTCGTGGGCGAGGGGCCCCCGCCCCTCTTGCGGGGCGCGGTGCCGCGGTCGGCGCCTCTCGGGGGGGGGGGCGCGCGCCGAGTTCGGCCAGATCCTCAGAGCCCCGAGTCATCAGGGGCAGCTCGGGTCAGGGCCAGCTCGGGTTCGCTTTTCGGGACTCCGAACCCGAGTTACCCCGGGCCCGAGTCACCCCGGGTAGATTCGGGCGTCCAGGGCCCCAACTCATCAGGGGTGACTCCGGTCGGGGCTAACTCGGGTTCGCTTTTGCGGGGACCCAAACCCGAGTTACCCCGGACCCGAGTTACCCCGGATGACTCGGGCGCCCAAGATCCTCGGACACGTCGATGGCAAATCATGGGAGCCTGGTGCGCCCCCTCAGGCTCAAGTCGGGCCTGTCCCTCTATACAAAGGAGGAAGGTTCAACAAAAGGATCCACAGAAATCGTCTGGGGGCCATGTTTTGATAATTTTTGCATACTTTTTACCATTTGTGGGGTACCTGGCATTTTTCGCCCAAAATCCCCCTGTAGGGGGACATGCCCGACCTAACCTTAGTTCCGTCTTCAGTGTCGAGTAGCGTCGAGTAGGGATTGGGAGCCGATGAGACGGCGTCGATTAGCGTCGATGAAAAGCGTCGACGTGGCGTCGATTAGCGTCGATCGATCAGCGTCGACAAGATGGTATGGGAGTCCCCCGTGAGTTGCCACCGAGCTTGGCACCGCAGGTGCCCTGTTGACTCCTAATGGCGCCCGTGCTTCCTTGCGAGCGCCGTCGGCGCCGCACGTTCCCAGACAGGGAGCATGCTGGACAGCAGCCTTTCGTTAGCTTGCCCGCCCCCGAGGCCGTCGCGAAATTGCCCAGGAGACAACCCCTTGTCTCCTGGGGGGGAGGGCCGTGACTTTGGGGGGGCCCCGGGCTTCGGGGCTCAGCAGACGGGGGTTCAAGGCACACGGGGGTCGGTCAGAGCGCCGGATCTTGCAGGATCCCGTAGAGCCAGGGGTTCATTGATCCAGCCGTGGGCGCAGGATCTTGCAAGGCCGGACTGGCCAGGGTCTGGATGGACCCGGGTCAGAAGATCCGTGAGGACTTTTCCGCCCTTACCTTGAGCCTCCAGGAGGCCTCTCGACGCCGCGGCGGGGCCCCGCCCCCCCGACATCCTGGTCAGAGCGCACCTTCGTGGCAACCCTCCTCCTCCTCCTCCTCCCTCCTCCTCTCCTCCTCCTCCTCCCCCCTCCTCCTCCTCCTCATCCTCCCCTCCTCCTCCTCTCCTCCTCCTGCTCCTCCTCATCCTCCTCCTCCTCCTCCTCCTCCCCCTCCTTCTCCCCCTTATCATCCTCCTCCTCCTCCTCCCCCTCATCCTCCTCCCCCTTGTCCTCCTCCTCCGTCCCCAAAGCGGAAAGATGGGCTGGCCTGGAGGCGATGCGCCTCAGGGCCCAAGATCTCACGATAATTAGTGACCACTTGTCGTTTGTCCGTGAAGGCGAGCGGTGGGATCCCCGCCAGGCTTGCGGCATGGCAGCACATGCTGCCGTGTGGCGCAAGATTTTGATGGTTTGCTCCGACCGACCGCGTCCTCGCTTCGTTTGGACTCCCGCGCATCGGTCGCTTGAGGGGTTAGTGGAAGCTGGTGCCTCGGCGGAGGACCTCTGGCGGTTTATGGGCAATGCGCGGGCCGATTTCTTTGCCAAGCTCGGCGCACAAGACGCCGCGGTAGCCGAAGTTGCGGTGTTTGCCTTGGGGTCCTCGGTGGCCGAGTGTAAAAAATCGTTTGATGTTTTGGCGCGAGCTGTCCAGATCATCTGTGCTAAGCCTGAGTGCGCCAATGCTGCCCCTGCCCGGCATGCGGCGGCGGCACCCGCAGGCCCGAGGCTCGTGGTGATAGCTCATGATCCCGTCTCCTTAGGCCCTGCTGGTTCCCTTCAGTGCAGGCGCTGCCTGGCCGTGGCCAGGACCCCAGCCAGCGCCAAGAGCTTGTTGAAACCAGGGGCCAAGTGTGACCCGTCGCCTATGCTTGCCGCTTTGGCCGCAGCGGCCGAGCGGCTAGGGTGGCGTAGCCAAAGGGGGGACGGACCTGCTGCTGCTGCTGCTGCTGCCGTGGCTGGGGGGGCTGATGTTGCCGCCGACGGGGTGGTGGGGAGTGGGACTCTCTTCGAATGTGACGGCCATAAGGTCCAGCGTTCGGGGCCATATGTATTATGTGTTCGGTGTGGGGCTCGTGTGGCCAGCGGTTCTGCCAAACTCGATGCCCTTGGGGAGGTCTGCCCCTCGCGTCCCCCGAACCCCGCCCGCCGTAGAGCCAGGGACTGGCTCGCTGACGGGCGGCACCCGGCAACGGGAGCTAAGCTTTAGTTCAATTCCTTGGGTTTCTCTGGCGTGCGATGGTTGACTGACCTCGCATGCAGCACCTCTTATCTTTTAAGTTGTACTTCCATGTTATTAATCGCTTCGCTCATTCCGCCGGCCCATACAGTCTCATGTCTGCCGTTTGCCCGAGGGCCTGGTGTCAATGCGGCGCTTTGGGGGTTCCTGGGGCGCTCGGGGGGGCATTTGGGGGGCCTCCTGGGGCCGCTTGGGGGACTCTTGGGGGCCTCCTGAGGGCCTCGTCGGGGCCTCTTGGGGCCTCTTAGGGGCCTCTTGGGGCCTCGGAGGGGCTTCTTGGGGCCGAGGGCTGGAAATGTTGTTTCGTGTTCCCTCTCTTGGGGCGTTCTTGGGGCCCTCTTGGGCCGTCTTGGAGGCTTCTTGGGCCGTCTTCGAGCCCTCTTGGGCCATCTTGGGGCCCTCTTGGGGGCCTCTTGGGCCCTCTTGGGGCGATCTTGGGGGCCTCTTGGGCCGTCTTGGGGCGTCGGGAAGCCGAAAAGGTGGAAGCTCCAAAATCTTTCAAAAACCTAAGGAAAATCAATGAATTTTGCCTCCGGAGGCCCTCTTGGGAGTGCTCTTGGAGGCCTCTTGGGGCGTCTGGGGGCCATCTTGGGCGTCTTGGAGCGATCTTGTGGCATGTCGGACCCCTCGTGTACCATCTTGGGGGCCTCTTGGGGGCCTCTTGGTTTTGTTTGGGTCCTCGGGGACGTTTTCGGAGCCCTGTTGGTGCGCTCATGGGGCGCTCGGGGGGACCCGGCCGGGACCCGGCCGGGGACCGGCCGGGACCTGGTCGGGGTACTTTTCGTCCGGGGACTCCCAGGGGCCGCCCCGCGCGCGCGAACTAGAGAATTGTTAACCAGTTACCGGAGATCTTAGCACGCCTCTGGCCCGTTGGGCCGGCGAATTTTAGCTCAGAGGTGGTATCGTGCCTGCATTGCTCCATTTTCTATGCTGCGTCCTGCGTCCTCCCCCTCCTCCTCCCCCTTTCCTCCCTCTCCTCCTCCCCCTTCCTCCCCATCCCCTCCTCCTCCCCTCCCCCTCCTCCTACCCCCCCTCCTCCTCCCCCTCCTCTTCCCCCTCCCCTCCTCCCCCTCCTCCTCCTCCTCCCCCTCCTCCTCCTCCCCGAGTGCTGCAGAGAGCAGGACGGCGCGCGTCCCTGCTCTCTGCCCCCCGCGCTCCTCCCCGCCTCGGCCCGAGCCCCGCCGCGGCAGGGACCCCGCGAGGGGGGGCGCCCGGCGCGCGACCGGCGCGGCCGCGGCCGCGCAGGGGCCACGCGCCGCCCCCCCCGACAGCAGGGTGAAGTCGGGCCTGGCCCTCTACAGGGGGCAGATTTGGCGGCGCGCAGAGGGGGGTAGGAGGAGGAGGAGGAGGAGGAGGAGGAGGAGGAGGAGGAGGAGGAGGAAAAGGGAGGAGGAGGAGGAGGAGGAGGAGGAGGAGGAGGAGGAGGAGAGGAGGCGGCGGAGGAGGCGGAGGAGGAGGAGGGGGAGGGGGGAAGGCTTCTTAGGAGCACCCCTGCTTCTTAGAGGGTGCGGGCCTTCTCTGCAGAATGGAAGGCCGGCGCCTTCTAAGGAGCAGCCTCCTTCTAAGAAGCCTTCCCCCCTCCCCCTACCCCCTTCTGCTCGCCTCCAAAATATTTCGGGGTTGGACAGACCTCCTACCCTGACACGTCGATTGAGGAATTGGCCGTGTTCGGTTCGCGAGGGGGCGTCGCGGCCGTCATCTTTGCGGGTCCAGGTCAGTCGGTTTCGGTCCCAGGCCGTTTTCATTAGGGGGAGGTTTTGCTAAAGGGAGGTTTGTCCACCGCCGAATATTCAAAAATAGAAAAATTAGTCTGGGGACCATTTCCTGACCATATCTGAATATGTTTGGAGTACTGTTGGGGTATGTTTGATGCTTCGACCAAGATCCCCCTGTAGGGGGACAGGCCCGACTTAAGAGTAGGGGAACGAGCAGTGCCATAAGCAGAAAAGCTCAGAGGTCCGCGCGGATCTCTCGGATCGGCGCTGGAGCCCCTTGGCAGCGCCTCCGGGCGCCGCCCCCGGCGCGCCCCGCGCGCCAGGGAGGGGGGCCCAACGCCGATCCGAGCAATCCGCGCAGACCTCTGAGTTTTTATGTTTCTTGCATTGTGTGTTTCCCTCGACAGGCGTCCAGGCCGCGAAAGGTGGCGATGGCTCCCGCCGGAGACGCCGGAGACGCAGAGGTCGGCTTGACTTACTTAAGGGACCTTTCGCTGGAGTTACCTCTGGTGCGGGCACAGTCGTCATGGGGGGGACAGGTGCCCGTACCTCTGCTCTTCACCCTCTTTCCCCCTTTTGGGTTTCCTGGGAGGCCCTCGTCGCCACCGCTGGATTCGCCTCGAAGTTCTGGTGAGAACGCACCCTGGGAGAGAGGTCCCGGGAAGTGGCGGTAGTGGTGCCCCTCGATCTCCCCACGTTGGGGCCCAGAGATGTCTGAATGCCATGCGATAGCAGCGGCTTGCGCGCTCGGGTTCGGCCCCCCCAACGCATCCGACCCCCGGGCCCCACCCCCGAACGCCTCGCACCGGAGGTCGCTCTTGCCTGGGGTCACTCCCCAGACATGCGGCGTCCTGGTTCCCAGCCATCCTGTGGTGTTGGGTCCTCGTCTTGAAGATACCGTCCCCGCGTCTCCTTCCCCACCTCTCCTCCTCCCTCCTCCGCCCTCCTCCCATCCCTGTCTTTCACCTCCGCTCCAGTCACTGTTCGGGACAACCCTGACACGTTTTGTGGCCCCCTAGGGAGCTCGACCGAAGGCCCCAGCGGCAGGGTCCGCATGGCGTGCCCGCACCCGATTCGGTACACCCTTCACGCGCTTTTGTGGCCCCCTAGGGAGCTCCACCGAAGGCCCCAGCGGCAGGGTCCGCATGGCGTACCTGCACCCGATTCGGCACACCCCTCACGCATTTGTGGCCCCATTTGCGGGGCTCCACCGCAAGCCCCAGCGGCAGGGTCCGCATGGCGTACCCGCACCCGATTCGGCACACACACACACACACACACCCGCACACCCGCACACCCGCACACCCGCACACCCGCACACCCGCACACCCGCACACCCGCACACCCGCACGCACACGCACACGCACACGCACGCGCACACGCACACACACACACAACACTCACACACACACAACACACACACAACATACACACACAACACACACACACACTCAGACACACACACACACACACGCAAACGCACACGCACACACGCACACGCACACGCACACGCACACGCACACGCACACACAGACACACAGACACACAGACACACACACACACACCACACACACACACACTCACACATACACACACCCACACACACACACTCACACACACAACACACACACACACAACACACACAACACACACAACACACACACACACGCACACACACACACACGCAAACGCACACGCACACACGCACACGCACACGCACACGCACACGCACACGCACACACAGACACACAGACACACACACACACACACACCACACACACACACTCACACATACACACACACACTCACACACACACACTTTTCACACGCTTCGTGGCCCCATTTGCGGAGCTCCACTGAAGACCCCAGCAGCAGGGTCTGCATGGCGTACCCGCACCCGATTCGGCACACCACTCACACGCTTCGCGGCCCTACAGGAAGCTCCACCGAAGGCCCCGGCGGCAGGGTTCGCATAGCGTACCAGCACCCGATTCGGCACACCCTTCACACGCTTCGTGGCCCTATTTGCGGAGCTCCACCGAAGACCCCAGCGGCAGGGTCCGCATGGCGCCCCCGCACCCGATTCGGCACACCCTTCACACGCTTCGTGGCCCTATTTGCGGAGCTCCACCGAAGACCTCAGCGTCAGGGTCTGCATGGAGTGCCCGCATTCGATTCGGCACACGCCTCACACTTTTTTGTGGCCCCATAGGAAGCCCCACCGAAGGCCCCAGCGGCACGGTCTGCATGGCCAACCGCGCCAGATTCCCGATTCGGCACACATACACACACAGACACACAGACACACACACACACACACACACACACTTCACACGCTTCGTGGCCCCACACCGACGGCCCCAGCGACAGGGTCCGCATGGCGTGCCCGCACCCGGCCCGGCAACGCCCCCCACGCTTCATGGCGCCAGGCGGACAGGAGCGGAACGCACAATGGTAACAAGGGCCGGCGAAAGAGTTTGGAAGAAGATGGGCACGACAGGGCTTGCGTTCGGGGCTCGAGCCAGGCGCAACATGTCCCCGCAAGCGCGTGCCCGCTGCTCCTTTCCTGTTGACGCCGCTGTCCTCGTGTTGGCTCCCCTCCTCCATTTCACCTGCCCCGCGACGCTTGCAGATGAATATGGTTGGGTCCTTCGCCAGGTTGTTTTGTTCAACCCGCGGTCCCCAGAAGTCCCGACCGTTTTCCCCTGGGCTGGCCTTCACCCCGAGTTGTTTCTTTGATTGCCCCGGGGCCCTGCGAGGGCCCTCCCCAGAGGCTGAAGACCACGAGATATTTTCCGTGCTGATTTTTGTCAAGACGCGAGCATGTCTGGGTCTTTTACGCTGCATCTCAGGGCGACCTCGTCTGCCACCAAAATGTGTGTCTTTTCTTTTCTTGTGCCCGACGCGGGCTCGATGCGGGCTCGATGCGGATTCGACGCGGATTCAGCGTGGATTTGACGCGGATTCGACGTTCGACGTGGATTCGACATGGACTCGACGTGGATAGGGGCGCGACGGTGCAAACGAGGTCCCCAGAAGATGCAACATGAGGTCTTGCGGGTAGCTGAAGAGGGCTGCCCTGCTCCCGAGTCCACCTCCACGACGGACCCCTGGGATGCAACTCCTGGGAGGTTGAATTCTGCATCAGCGCTGGTATTCTCGCGGTCGATAACCGACTTAATCTGGGCTACTCCGGTTTGATCCCGCTTCATCCTCCTTGATCCCGCTTAATCCGGCTTAATATTTGGCTTAATTTAACCTTATTCGGTGAATTGGCCATCTAATCAGGCTCAGTCGCCCTTACTCGTTCCAGCGCGGACGTCTCAGAAGCGCCCCTGCTTCTTAGAAGGCGCGGGCCTTGTCCGTAGATGAGGGGTCGCCTCTTTCCGAGAAGCAGCGTTCTTCTAAGAAGCCTTCCCCCGCCCTGCAGTAGAAGCCCAGGCCGAGGAGCACCCTGCTTGCCTGCAGGGTGCTCTGGGTTTCTTGGGTTTCGATGGCTTTCCGATCGAGCGCGCGACGCTCCCACACCAAACATCGATGGACGGCCTGGGCTCCCGGGGTCGGGTTTCTTTTGGACGGTTTCTTGTGGTCGAGCTCCTCCTGCAACCCCTGCCCCCCCCCCTGCGCGCTGCCGAAACATGGAGGGGGGGGGGGGACCCAAAGTTGGCCGTGAGGGGCGCGGAGCGCGGGCCGTGAGGCGAGGAGCGGGGAGCGCGGGGAGCGCGGGGAGCGCGTGGACCTGGGCCTGGGGCACACCTGGGGCTCCCGTGGAGCGCGGACCTGCGGCCCCCGGTGCCCAGACCCCTCGTGTGCCATGAAAAATTCACGGCGGGGGGTTTTTGGTTGTTCTCTTCGGCCTCCAGGGGCCCTCGCCGGGCCTCGGGACCGTCCAAGAACGGCGCAGGACTGAAGCAGTGCTGTCTCATCGACTCCCAGACGCCAGTCGGCGCTGCTCGAATCGACGCCGAAGACGGAGTTGAGAGGGTACACCAGGCTCCTATGGTTTGCCACCGAACGTCTGGCCCAGACCCCCGACGTCATGAATTTGTCATTGATGGACCCCCAGCGGTCTGGACCCATTCCCTGGGACCGGTTTCTCGTGCTGGGTCGTTTTTCGACGGTCCCGAGGCCCAGTAAGGGCCCCTAGAGATTTGTTCATGACCCGAGGGGGTCTGCTCTGTTCCTGACGCCGAAGACCAGGAGACACCTCCCGCCGTGCTTTTTTTCAGGACCCCAGGGGGTCTGGCGGGAAGGACCTTGCCCCCGCGGCTGACCACCTCCGCGCGCCCTCCGCGGCGCCCAGCTCCGCGGCCTCCGAGGGCGGCCCCCCCCCGGACCTCTGCGACGACGCACCGCCGCCGGCCGCGCCGGCGCCGGGCGTGCAGGCGCCGGGTGTGCAGGCGACGCGGCGGCCGGCCCCGTTGGTGACCAGCGCTGACTTCGGCTCCTCCTCGAGGGAGGAGCTCGATGAGGGAGCTCGAGCAGGAGGAGGAGGAGGAGGAGGAGGAGGAAGAATGGGAGGAGGAATGGAGGAATGGAGAAATGGAGGAGGAGGAGGAGGAGGAGGAGGAGGAGGAGGCGATGGATGGAGGAGGAGGAGGAGGAGGCATGGAGGGAGGAGGAGGAGGAGGAGGGAGGAGGAGGGGAGGAGGGAGGAGGAGGAGGAGGAGGTGGAGCAGGAGGAGCAGGAGGAGGAATGGAGAAAATGGAGGAGGAGGAATGGAGGAGGAGGAGGAGGAGGAGGAGGAGGAGGAGGAGGAGGAGGACGAGGACGAGGACGAGGAATGGAGGAGGATTGGAGGAGGAATGGAGAAGGAATGGAGGATAAATGGAGGAGGAGGAGGAGGAGGAGGAGGAGGAGGAGAGGACGACCAGTGCAAACCCAAGAGTCATCAACGATGTCGGAATTAACCCTCCCTCCAAGCTCCCTCTTCACAGGCCCCTACAACGGTCCATTTCCATTGAGGGAACTGCCTTGCTGAAGACAACCGTTTGAAGATCCTGGAGCGTGCCAAAACATTGTTCTCGGGATTTCAACGCCAAGAATCAACCTGACTGCTGCGTCTTGACGATCCAGGATGGTGCCATAAAGCTATTGTTGGGATTTTGACACCGCGAATCAACATAACTGCTGAGCCCGCATAATCCAGAATACTTCCATAACAGCCTTTCTGGTACGCTGATCACCATTGCAACTGTTTAAAACCGAATGTGCGCGGCGCTAAGGCGAGAGCCACATGTTGAAAAGGACCCCCCCTCAATCCGCAAATTTCTTGCAACTTTTAAAGCAAATGCACGCGGCGCTAAGGTGAGAGCCACATGCTGAAAGCGACCTCCCTCCATCTGTGAAGCTGTGGTTATCTTTAAAGCTCCAGAGTCATAAATGGTGAGGAAGTCTCAGGCGACCCCCCCGGCCCGCCCTAAACACTTGCCTGAGGGTGCGACAGGGAAAGTTATCTATGAGGAGAAGGAATGGAGGAGGGAGAGGAGGAGGAGGAGGAGTAGGAGGAGGAGGAGGAGGAGGAGGCGGAGGTAGAGGAACAGAGGAGAAGGAGAAGGAGGAGGAGGAGGAGGCGGAATGGGGAGGAGGAGGAGGAATAGGAATGGATGAGGAGGAGGAGGAGGAGGAGGAGGAGGAGGAGGAGGAGCAGGAGCAGGAGCAGGAGGAGGGGCAGAGGAGGAGGAGGAGGAGGAGAGGACGAGGAGGAGGAGGAGAAGGAGGCGGAGGAGGCGGAGGAACGGAGGAAGGAGGAGGAGGAGGAGCAGGAGAAGGAGAAGGAGGCGGAGGAGGAATTGAGGAGGAGGAGCAGGAGGAGGAGGAGGAGGAGGAGGAGGAGGAGGAGGAGGGGGCGGATGAGGAATTGAGGAGGAGGAGCAGGAGGAGGAGGAGGATGCGGAGGAGGAATGCAGGAGGAGGAGGAGGAGGAGGAGGATTATCTCGATGAGGAGCTCGATGAGGAGTTCGATGAGGAGCTCGATGAGGAGCTCGAAAACGAGAGAAAGGTAGCGTTACCCATACCGCTACCCTTCCCTCGTTCTCGCCTTTCTGGGTCTTCTGGGTGGCCATCGTCGCCACCGCTGGATTCGTCTCGAAATTCTGGTCCGAACGCACCCTGGGAGAGGTCTGGGGAGTAGCTGTATCAGTACCTCTTGGTTTCGCCCATGTATTCCCAGACATGCTCGCGTCGTGGAAAAATTGGGACGAGATGTTTTTGGCCATTTTCGGTCTCTACAAGGCCCTCGCCAGGTCCTGGGGCCGTCAAAAATTGGCTCGGGATGGGAAACGGGGACCTGGGAAAAGGGTAGGGATTTCCGGGGACCGCGACTTCCAAAAATCAGGTCGTCGCATGTTTGGGATTTTGACTCCGACTCGATTCGATCCGATTTCGGTTGATTCTGGTTCGGATTCGATTCAACTTCTGATTGCGATCTGGATGCCGGTTGCTCTGTGGAGGCCTTACTGGCATGCTTGCTTGCCGATCTCTGCCGAGTCGAGTCCTCCCGACTTGACTGCAGATGTGCCGCCGAAGCGGGTCCCTTCGATCGCCGATCCGACGTGTCGATTCGGTTCTGGGCTCTCCCGCCAGACGCGCCCGACGACGCCGCCAGCGTCGAAGGAGCGCGGGGCGGCAGACCAGGCTCGGCGACACGTGATTAGCCCTGAGATCCGTGGGCCATGCGTCTGCTTCGCGCCCGGGCGTCCCCGCCCCGCGTGTCGGGCCCGGGGCCATCACAGATCGATCCGGCTCGAGACATGCCGCTGGGAGATTGGGTCTGGGGCTCTGGTCGTGACAGGTCGCGAAGCTTGGCATCGCTCGGGCGTGCGCATGTTTCCTTCGGCGAGGACCATCGAGGAGCATCCTTGATCATTCGGCGAGAAAACCACAAACGAAACAAAACAAGCACAGGGAATGGACGTCCGAGCGATGCCCAGGAGGCTGCATGTTCTTTTTCGCAACGTCGGATCTCAGAGGGAAGAGTGGCCCTTCGCCAGAGCGACCTCTGGTGCGCGGTTTCGGGGGCCGCGGGGGGGCTAGACCAGGGTACGCAGGTCGCCACCCCAGACGCCGGACGTCATGATTTGTTCCTTGAACGTCGACCCCAGAGGTCTCGACCCATTCTCCGCGACAGGTTCCTCATCCTGAGTCGTTTTTGATTGTCCCGAGGCCCGGTGAGGGCCCCCGGAGGCCGAGAATGACGAAACACCTCCCGTCGTGATTTTTTCATGGGCCGGGGGCGTCTGGGACAGTTGCGTCGCACGCATCTGCCGGCAGGCCGCACACACCAAAGGTCGCTCTTTGCCAAGGGCCATTGCCTGCGTGTGGCTGGTAGGTGCCCGCGTGCCTGGAGCGGCTCGTCAGCGGCGGCTCGTCCAGGCTGCTGAGCATGCCGTGCAGCGACCTCGCAGAGGATAGAAGGAGAAACAACACCATAAAACATAAACGTTTGGCGCCACACGCCGACGATGTCCCAACCCAATTTCCAGCCTTGATCGCCAGAAATCGTGTCGGGCACCAAGGAAGTACCGAAGCTTGAGGGTCTTCGCGTGCGGGGGTCCCTGCTGGGAGGCGATGCTCGTTCGACACCGTTTCGATGCTCTCGCTCGAAGCCATTTCTGGGATGTGGTCCTCAAGTGCGCTTGGAACAGCATGCCGCTGCGCGCGGATTCCTTGGATCCGCGCTGCCCCCCCCCCCCCCCCCTCCCCCCCCTTCGGCGCCGCCGCGCGCTTCGGGGAGTGGGCTCCAGCGCAGGTGCAAGACGTCCCGCGCGGAGCGCCGCACGAGTCTGTGCATGGCGCCGCTCCCTTCTCTGGCGGCGCGCAGAGGGGGGTAGGAAGAGGAGGAGGAGGAGGAGGAGGAGGAGGAGGAGGAGGAGGAGGAGGAGGAAGAGGCGGCGGAGGAGGCGGAGGAGGAGGAGGAGGAGGAGGAGGAGGAGGAGGAGGAGGAGGAGGAGGAGGAGGGGGGAAGGCTCCTTAGAAGCACCCCTGCTTCCTAGAAGGTGCAGGCCTGCTCTGTAGATGTAAGGCCGGCGCCTTCTCAGAAGCAGCCCCCTTCTAGGAAGCCTTCCCCCCTCCCCCTATACCCCCTTCTGCTCGCCGCCAACTTCTCCTAGAGGTCAGAGACCCGAATCATCAGGGGTAACTCGGGTCAGGGCTAACTCGGGTTCGTTTTTCGGGAATCCGGATCCCGAGTTGCCCTGGGCCCGAGTTACCCCGGATAACTCGGGCGTCCAGAGCCCCAAATCATCAGGGATAATTCGGGTCAGGGCTAACTCGGGTTCGTTTTTCGGGAATCCGAACCCGAGTTGCCCCGGGCCCGAGTTACCCCGGATAACTCGGGCGCCCAGAGCCCCAACTCATCAGAGATAATTCGTGTCAGGGCTAACTCGGGTTCGTTTTTCGGGAATCCAAACCCGAGTTACCCCGGGCCCGAGTTGCCCCGGATAACTCGGGCGCCCAATCTTAGAAGCACCCCTGCTTCCTAGAAGGTGCGGGCCTCCTCTGCAGATGTGAGGCCGGCAAGCAGCCTCCTTCTAAGCAGCCTCCTTCTAAGAAGCAGTCTGTTAGACAATTCTGCTTGACAGTTCCGCGTCGTGTGGACGTTTGTTTCAGGCGTGCGTGCTGAACCTGGCACGCAGGCAACCCCAGCGCACTCAGTGCGCGCCCGTGCGCGGCGTTGGCGACACAAAAAAAAGCCTTCCTCCCTCCCCCATGCCCCCTTCTGCTCGCCGCCGACTTCTCCTATAGAGGACGCCTTCGGCGGCTTCCTCGCCTCCGCCCTGAGCGAGCTGCGGCGGAGCGTCGTGGCCGAGCACGACCGCGCCGTGCAGGCGGCGCTCCTGCGCGGGTGCACCAGCCCGGCGGTGCGGCGGCAGAGCTCGGGCTCCTCGATCGAGGAGGTCCCAGACGACGCCAGGAGGACCCACGGAGGAGGAGCAGATAAAACGACGCGAAGATCGGGGCAACATCGGATCCGGAGAACTCGAAATCTCTGAGAATCGGCGGGTTTGGAGGATGTGTTGCGCGCCGCGGCCGCTCCAGGGCGTTCCGGAACGCTCTGAGAGCGCTCCAGAACGCTCTGGAGCGATTTATCCCGATCCTAGCCCTGTTTTAAGAAGGCACGTTTAAGTCGGGCGTGTCCCTCCACAGGGGGGATATCCAAGACTAGCCAAAAAATAGTCTGGGGAGGATGTTGTCTGGTATTGTTTGACCATGTTGGTGTCAGTTGTGAGTCGTTTTTTTATATTTTCCGTCGAATATCCCTCTGTAGGGGGACACGCCCGACTTAAAAAGGTACGTGCCGGTGCCGCGACGATTGGGTTAAGTCGGGCTTGGTCCTCTACAGGAGGAAAATTCAAAATAGTCAAAAAATAGTCGAGGGACTATTTTTCCAATATGTTTTGACCATGTTGTAGCATTTTTATGATTTTTGTTTTTTTCGTCGAAGATCCCCTTGTAGGGGGACACGCCCGACTTAACGATAGGGGGGATAGGCATCGGGGTGAATGCATCTACTCCGAATCGCCCAGTCATCGCCGATAGGGGCCGGATAGCCCTACCCCGCCCAGGAACGTTGGGATTGTCCATCGAGGGCCTAACGCCGATCCGTCGGCGAGGTCTCGCCGATTCCAGGTCGGCGTCTCTCTACAGGAGCACAACTCAAACATAGAAGAACAAATAGTCCGGGGACGATGCTTCGATTAGTTTCGGAATCTGTTTGGGCATGTTTGGAAGATGTTTTATATTTCGTCCAACATCCGCCTGTAGGGGGACATGCCCGATCTAAAGCTAATTTTTGGGGGCTGGGTCTCCCCGTGAGTAGTACCTTTGGAGCACACCCCCTGGGAGACGTCTGGGCAGCAGCGGCATCGAGATCCTGAGATCCGATGTCGCGAGAGAGGCCCATACCCCCTCGGGCTACGACAAAGATCCCGACGGGAGGTTTTTCGCTATGTTCGGCATCCGGGGGCCCTCGCCGGGCCTCGCCAGCGTCAAAAAACGACTCAGGATGAGAAACGGGTCCTGGGGAATAGGTCTAGAATTTTTGGGGTCGACGTCATGAACAAATCATGACGTCGGGGGCCTGAGTAGGCTCCATCTTCCCGCGTCATGCTTCGAGCTGGATGGATCTGTAAGGGTCCTGGGCCCGAGACCACCGCAAGGTCGGCCTTCGTAAAAAGTGTTCGCAGAAGTCCCGGAAGTCCCGGCGGCCAGGCGGTCCCCGGAAGTCCCGGAAGTTCACCTTGGGTCCCTCCTCCCTCCTCTCTCCTCCCTCTATGAAGTTCCGAACTAATATGGCCTTGGCCACCAGAGAAACAGTCGAACGCCAAGGAAGCACCGAAACTTGAGGGCTCTCACGTGTCGGGCTCTGGGAGGCGACGCTCGTTCGACACTTCGTTAGCGTGTCGGGCAGACACTGTCTGGGTGCTCGGAATTATTTCTGAGATGTGGTCCTTAAGCTCGATGGGGACAGCATATCGCTGGGTAGTCTGTTGACGGTCCCGGGGCCCCAGAAGGCCGCACATAGCAAACATCTGCCTGAATTTTTCCTTGTGCGGGTCAGACTTCTGTCCATATGCACTGCAGCTTGGAGTTTCGGACTCTCTTCCCCAGAAACCCGAGGCGCATGGGGTATGGATAATCTGGCCCCTAGAGTCTTAGAGGCTCGACTTTGACCTCTATCCAGGGCGCCTTGTCCTTGCGGCGCCCCTTTGAGTAGAGAGTTCAAAGGCTCATTGCATACGAGCAGAATTTCGGTCGGCCCGAGGTAGAAGGTCGAGGTCGGTTCGGGGAGGGTGCCCTACAGTCGGGGCGCTGAAGAAGGAACCCTTTTCGTTGGGGAGGGGCTCGATGTTCCGTAATTGTTCCACACCTTGCCTAAGGCTTCCCTTACGTTTACGATGAGAAGTCGAAGTTCAGTTTATCCAAAGAAATGGGGCCTCGTTCCTTCTTTAGGGTTCCTTAGGTCAACGCTTCGACTGTACTGTTCTTCGGAAGTCTGTTGAATGTTGTGCATCCTGGGGGGGGGGGGGCCTCGAACGTTCTTCGGCTTGGGCGGCGGAGGGCCTTACGTTCTCGGGGGAGGTTGTTTTCTGCCCCGGGTCCAGCAGTACAGTCGGGGCCCGTTTCGCAGCTTGCCTCAGGTTTTCCTTATGTCTTCGATCGGACATCGAAGTTTAACTTATGGAAAAAAGGGGCCTCCTTCCTTATGTTGGGTTCCTTAGGTCAAGGCCCCGACTGTAGAGCCCGTGCGTCTGCACGACACCAGGAGCGTTGAGCTCCCGGCGCCCCGATGTTGTTCGAGGCGGGCGTGTTCGCCCAGGTTCGGGCCCGAGGATCCTCATAGATCGATCTAACTCGAAACATGGCGCAGAGGGATGGAGCCTACCCAGACCCCTCGACATCGTGATTTTCGCATGACGCCACCCCCAGGAGCCTGGATCCCTCCTCCTCCTCCTCCTCCTCCTCCTCCTCCTCCTCCTCCTCCTCCTCCTCCTCCTCTCCTCCTCCTCCTCCCCCCTCCTCCCCCTCCTCCTCCTCCCCCTCGTCCCCGTCCTCCTCCTCCCCCTCCCCCTTCTCCTCCTCCTCCTCCTCCTCTCCTTCGTCCTCCTCCTCCTCCTCTCCTCCTCCTTCTCCTCCTTCTCCTCCTCCTGCATTCCTCCTCCGCATCCTCCTCTTCCTGCTCCTCCTCCTCAATTCCTCATCCGCCTCCTCCTCCTCCTCCTGCTCCATCTCCTCCTCCTCCTCCTCCTCCTCCTCCTCCTCCTCCTCCTCCTCCTTCTCTCCTGCTCCTCCGTCTCCTCCTCCTCCGAAGCTCCAATCCAAAGAAAGCGCCCTACTAAACCGGACCACCCCAATTACAAAAAAGGCGCCGTACAAAACCGGACCCAGGGGACGATTAATAAAGGGATTTGGAGAATGCCTCCCAGATGGGGTCGGAGCAGATGGGGTCGGAGGATCGCGCCGCACCGCCGCTGCGTCGACGGTGCGGCTCGATGCGGAGCCCGATTTGCTCCACGCCGACGTCGCCGATGCATCGCCGACGTCGCATCGCCGATGCATCGGCGATGCGGCGCGATCCTCCGACCCCATTTGCTCCGACCCCATGCAGGAGGCCTCCCAGGGCCTCTTCGCCAGGCCCCAGGACCGTGAAAGACCGAGTCGGGATGGGAAGCCGGTCCCCGGGGAAAGAGATGGGGATTTCCTGGGGCCGCGCATTGACAAAGCCAGGGCGTCGCCTGTCTGGGAAGAGGGGGTGGCAACAATTCGGCGGCGATGGACGGGGGGGGATGAGGAGGAGAAGGCCTTCTCAGAAGGCGGCGGTGTCTCTTAGAAGGCCTCCGGCCTTCTGTGGGGTGTTCTGTATTTTCGGGGGAGGCTCAGAAAACTTCCTGGAAGGCTGGGGGACTTCGAGCCTTCTGAGAATCCAGGCCTCCTAGATGGGGTCGGAGCAGATGGGGTCGGAGGATCGCGCCGCATTGCCAATGCATCGACGATGCGGCTCCATGCGGAGCCCGATTTCCTACGCCGACGTCGCCGATGCGTCGGCGACGTCGACAATACATTGCCGATGCATCCCCGATGCATCGGCGATGCGGCGCGATCCTCCGACCCCGTCTATTCCGACCCCATGTAGGAGGCCTGTAGAGAAGGCCCGCCCCTTCCAACTTTCCTCCCGAGCCCGAGCTCGCCGCCGACCCCGAGTTGGGGGTGAAGAGCAGTGGCCTAAAGGGGCCCTTTGCAGCCCCTTTGGGGCGCCTGCTGGCTCGAACAGAGGTTCTAAAGGGCCCCTTTTGGGGCCCATTTCTCTTCACCCCGATGTAGGTCACCCTCATTTCCACCCGCCCGATGATGCCTGGATTCGCTCGGCTCCTTGGAGGGGTAACGTGAGGGGTGGGCGGGCTCAGAGGGGAGAAAGCATCGAGCCGGAATCGCCGATGCATCGCCGAGGGGGCTCGGGGAGCAGCAGTCGGTAGAGGCACCAATGCCGTTACTCCCCGGACCTCTCCCCAGGGTGCGTTCTGACCAGAGTCTCTCTCTCTCTTTCTTTTTGTTTGTTTTCTCTCTGTCTCTCTCTCTCTCTCTCTCTCTCTCTCTCTCTCTCTTTCTATATATATATATATATATATAGCCCCACATGCTTCGTGGGGTTATGGTTTTCTTCCCTTCCGCGTCTCACCCGCGTCTCCTCCTCCTCCCTCTCCTTCTCCTTCTTTTTCACCTCACGGAGAGCGCGGCAGGCGTGGCACTTTCTCGACACCAGGGGGGGTGCGCAGGGGGGGGTCTCTCACCGCGGCGTCTATGCGTGCCAGGGTCGGAGAGCGTGGCAGGCGTGGCACTTTCTCGACACCAGGGGGGGTGCGCAGGGGGTGGTCTCTCACCGCGGCGTCTATGCGTGCCAGGGTCGGAGAGCGTGGCAGGCGTGGCACTTTCTCGACACCAGGGGGGGTGCGCAGGGGGTGGTCTCTCACCGCGGCGTCTATGCGTGCCAGGGTCGGAGAGCGTGGCAGGCGTGGCACTTTCTCGACACCAGGGGGGGTGCGCAGGGGGTGGTCTCTCACCGCGGCGTCTATGCGTGCCAGGGTCGGAGAGCGTGGCAGGCGTGGCACTTTCTCGACACCAGAGAGGGTGCGCAGGGGTGGTCTCTCACCGCGGCGTCTATGCGTGCCAGGGTCGGAGAGCGTGGCAGGCGTGGCACTTTCTCGACACCAGGGGGGTGCGCAGGGGGTGGTCTCTCACCGCGGCGTCTATGCGTGCCAGGTCGGAGAGCGTGGCAGGCGTGGCACTTTCTCGACACCAGGGGGGTGCGCAGGGGGTGGTCTCTCACCGCGGGCCCAGGGTCGAGGCGTGGAGAGGGGTCAAGCGGGCGTGGCATTTCCTCGACACCAGAGGGGGTGCGCAAGGGGGTGGTCTCTCACC